GGTGGCTAGATTGAATTAGTTCATATCATTGTTTGCGCGTCATTGCGCATGTAAGAGACAGTTGTTAGCTGCATTTCTGCGCCATTGTATTGAGCTGCATTGCTGCGCCCTTGAGCTGCCTGCGTTTCTGCGCCATTGTATTGGGCCACATGGCTGGGCCTTTAGTTGGCTGCATTTTCGCCATCACTTACCGTGAGGTCTGGGCGCCCAGCTGGTAAAGTGGACGGGCACAAAGGGTCTGATGGGCGGGAGGGATAAGGGTTGAAAAGGAAGGGCCACAGAGTGGAAGGAGGAGGCAAGGGTTTGGCACAAAGGGCAGTCATGGGCAGGGCAGATGTCACGAGTGGGGTGAGAAGAAGGGAGGCATCGTGAGGGCACAAATGGAAGAAGCGCACAGGGCAGTGAAGGATCGAGGGAGGAGGAGGTGTAACTTGGCAAGGGGAAGCAGATGGGAAAGGGAAAGTACGCACCTTGAGAGAAAAATGTCCAGGGCTAAAACATCTTTCTGAGCGTGGGCCAAAACACATTGTCCTAGCTTCCGTCAGCTTCTGGTGCTCCTCCATGCCCTCGAATGCAAATTATTCCCTGGGAATGAGGAGAAGTGTATCCATAGATACCTGTTTTAGAGGGTATATAGAGGCGGGTGCGTATTCATTTTATCAGAATGGGAAGGACTTACGTTCTCCAAAATGGGGGTGCCCTACATAGAGGTCCCCTTAAAGGATTGTATAGGGCTGGTTTAAGAATTAGTCCCGTGTCCAAGTCACTTCCAGCTGACATTAAGCCCCCGCCCCCCAACCCCCGCATGTTCCAAATAGTGGTCCAACTCCTGTTGGGTACATAGTCTGTTGCGGTATGCCGGTGGTTAACATCAGGGGAATGGATCGATACTGCCCCCGTAGTAGGGGATTAGCAAATAATGCATAATAGGGACACCTAAACCAAAGTTCAAGGCAAAGCATAAGCCCACTGTTTCTGCATGCAAGCATCATCTTGCTAAAACCCCCTACAGAATTACATGCACCCAAAGCAAGCCCTATCCCACCTCCAGAAGGTCAGACTGCAAGTGCTGCTGGGTCTTGCCTCAGAGGACTTTTTCAAAAAACTCGGGGTTGCCTTGGTGAGGATTCTAGCTGAAGAGACCTGCAGGGTGAATTCAGGACCTTCTGCAATTTTGTCTGTGAAAGCACGCTTTGGCGGGAGGAGCTTTACGACCTCATGGACGCTGTTTGGGCAAGACAAGCTTTTTTTGCCTCCTGAAGTGCTACTAGCCCCGAACGCTCATCCCGCAACCCGAATCTCTAAACCATTATAGTCCCCCTTAAATAGATAGAACATGGGGTATATGGGGATCGTATTCTAATATACCCAAAGCCATATCCTATCTACTTAAGGGGGACTATATATATACCCTAAACCCTAAACCCTAAAGCCTAAACCCTAAAGCCTAAACCCTGAACCCTAAACCCTAATCTCTAAACCTTTATCTGTACTGGCCCGTTCTTGACATGAAGGGGCCTGTCTGCTCCAGGTCCCTCTGCGCAGAGTCAGCTCTGGTGCGCAGCTTCTTCACCTGATCTAAGGAATCAAGCTGCTCTTTAGGGTTGAGGGCTTAGGGTTTGGAGTATAGGTTAAGGGGTTTATGGCTTGAGGTTTAGTTTTCTATGGTAACTTGTAATTATAAGAGACTATGGGTTACTTACCTACTTATGACTTGCTTGTTTTGCACCTTCAGTGGCTGAGTAATACTTTGGCAATATAGATAAGTGTTCTGTACGTGGGGCTCTGGTTTAGAGCGAAATACATGTTAGACCCCTTATAAGTGTAATCAGGGTCTACGGTGATAATTGCTGGTTGTCAGACGGAGGACAGTAAGACCCTAAGGGATAACTACCCCCATAGCACCCTCATAATCTGCTTAGGATTTTTCTAGGGTCCCGAGGTACACCCATTTCATAAAACCCCTAACCCCTAATAACACAAACCCTGAACCCAAACCCAAACCCTAAACCCAAACGGTTCGCCTCTTCCCTGCATGCGGCACTTTCTGTGTTGACATCTTCCAGCATGAGGCGCTGGTCATCAACTTGATGCGCTAATGCCTGGCAGGTAGTACAAATAGAAGGCTTTTAAAACACCATAGCTCTACTGAGTTGATGTAGATAGACTATAATTGGGGTTAAATTGGGATAATGCAAAAGAAAATGGAAACAACTATTCATATATTCTGTAGTATAAACCCTAAACTCTAAACTCTAAACCCTAAACCCTAAACCGCGTGTTATGGCATTTCTACTATTGACACTCTCATGTAACTTCGACCATAGCCTTGCCAAGCCTTGTGGTCGCTCTGCAAGCCCTCTGTGCTAGACTCCAACGCCTGCGCAGTGGCCTCCAGACCTGGGCTGCCGTTAAGGAACTTAAAGGAAGTTCCCATAATGGGTATATAAAATAATTCATATGGTTCCCCCATTATAGGAACTTAAACTAAGGTTTAAGTTCCCATAATGGGTATATTACGATTAATATGGTTCCCCCCTTATAGTAACTTAAGCTAAGTTCCTTAATGGGTATTTATCATGACATGGTTCCCCCAGTATAGAAACTTAACCTAAGTTCCCATGTGGTTCCCCCATTCCCATACTGGGTATATATTCTGATTAATGTGGTTCCCCCAGTAGAGTAAGTTAAACTAAGTTCCATAATGGGTATCTACACTCCTTAAAGGGGGTTATATAGGGATAATGGAAAATAAAACGGAAACTACTATAATGCGTTAAATAGGGATACTCGAAAATGAAATGGAAACTACTATCATGGGTTATATAGGCATAATGGAAAATAAAATGGAAACTACTATAATGCGTTATATAGGGAGAATGGAAAGTAACATGGAAACTACTATAATGCGTTATATAGGGAGAATGGAAAACAACATGGAAACTACTATAATGGGTCATATGAGCTATAGTCTAAACTCCTAGTATCCCCCTTAATAACCCTTATAGTAGTCCCCTATATAATTCCCTATAGAACCCCTTTAAGGAGTTTAGATTATGGCTCATATAGGGCTTAAACTAAACTAAGTTCCTTAACAGCAACCCAGAGACTGGCGGTCCGTGCCTCGCACCCGCCCGCGCGCACGGAGAGCTCGTGGAAGGCTGGCTCCAGCCTCGCCATGGTTTAGGGGTTTGGGTTTAGGGTTTAGGGTTCCCTAAACCCTAAACCCTAAACCCAACCCTAAACCCTAAACCCAACCCTAAACCCTTTAGGGTTTAGGGTTTAGGGGTTCAGGGTTTAGAAGGGTGGCTCCAGCCTCGCCATGGCAGGCTCCAGCTTCGCAAGGCGTGGTTCGAGGCTGCTCACCTTCTTGCTGGAATAAAGGGTTTAGGGATTGGGGTTTAGGGATTAGGGTTTAGGGATTAGGGTTTAGGGATTAGGGTTTAGGGATCAGGGTTTGGGGATTACAGTTTAATTAGGGATTAGGGTTTAGGGTAAGGCTCGCCACCGTTGGGCCTAGTTTAAAACCCTATGCCTTTCGGCACCAAAACACTAAAGACCCCTACGCCTTTCGGCGCCTAAAAAAAACCCTACGCCTTTCGGCGCCTAAACACACCTGAAAACCCCTACGCCTTTCGGCCTAAGATATTTCACAGGGTGTTCTTTGGGATGATTATAGGGATGATCGTCCCACCCCTATCACGCGCCGACCGTCGTCCATTAGGCTGTAGGTGGCGCGGGAATAAGGGAATAACATATACAGGGATTATATAGGGATTAGATTCCCTGATTCCCTATTAAGAGCCAGTAAGCCTTGATGTTCAGGTCCCCCAAGGGCTCAAGGCTGCAGAGGCGTACGTCAAAGGCCGTGAGGCGGAACTCGAAGTTGGCCACGCGGGTGCTGGCCGTCTCCACTTGGTCGCGCACGCTTCCGAAGTCGGTCTCCGTCCTCGCCACGATGGCCTCTGTGCTGGCCCTGCTGTCATCCAGTCGGTCCACGCTGGCCCCCAAACGCTGGATCTTGTCATCCACCTCATAGTGATAAGAATAATACAAATAATAGTAGCAGTGATCATAGCAAAAAAATAGTTACAACGGCATAATGAAAAAACGGAAACTGGAAACTACTACATGATCTTGTCATCCACCTTCTCCACCCAGCTCTGCATCCGGTCGGTGAAGGCCAAGGCCTTCTCAGAATCCACGGACAGTTTTGCCATGCTGGCTTCGATGCGGTCAAAGCGAGCTGCTGATGTCCTCAGTGCATGGTGGGCGACAATGTGGTTAATAGTAGTAATAGTAGTTATAGTAATGAGAATAATAGGTAATAGTAAAAGAGATCACAGACTCAAGGAGGGCACTCGATTCATCAGAGGCATTGCTGTCATACATAGATATCTTTTTAAACCTAGGGTCCCCATACACCCTTTGCTCGCCTGCTTGAACAAGCCCCTCATGACGAAAGATTCGCACTCATCATTTGGAGAAACTCTCCCCACCTGGTGGCTCCACTGAGGGCCCGGCTCCTCCTCTGTCTTAAGGTCTGCCTGCAAGATCGCCACATTCTTCAGCGACTCATGTAGCCTGATAGGCTTCCAGCTCTGGAGTCATCTGGGGGGTGGATTCATTACGTTTAGGATCCTACCTAAACCCCCAAAGTAGGTAAAATAATGGCCCCAAACCCCTAAATATAGCCCAAAAGGCCATTATTCTACATACTTTGGGGGTCCAGGTAGTACATGGGGGGCATATACCAAAATGAGCTTGTGGACCCGACAGTGGCCCGCTAGCCGCCCCTTAAGGGTAGATTGAAGGGCTTCTGAGGCTTGTAATGATGAACAATTCCAAGTGGGTAATGGCCAGGTAGGACCACTACATGAGGCTCAGGACATCCTCATATAAAGTGCTTTAATCATATCGTACCTGAATAATGGAACATCAAGTAGGAAAGAACATGGAAACTCAAATGGAAACTGGGGTTATAGGGAATTAAATGAGGTCTATGGAACTCCCCCGAAAGGCTACCCATTCGAGATCTACCCACCTGGAACTTTCCTTGCTAATCCTCCGGATCATGTAATGCTTCCCCATGCAGACCCGAATGACGGTATATGGTAGCTTCCCTGAATAGGGGACCCCAATAGAGACCTCAAATACTATAATCTTTGTCACAGGGCCGTCCAAAAAAGTACCCCTAATTTTGGGAAAGCCCCATTTCAAGGAGCGTTGATAAGGTCGACTACCCCAATATAACCCCAATATAACCCTAATGTAACCCCAATATAACCCTAACATAACCCTAGTATAACCCGAATGTAACCCCGATATAATCCTAATATAACCGCACTATAACCCTAATATAACCCTAGTATAACCCTAACATAACCCCCCCATCCTGGAAGGGGTCCCCTGCTTGCTTTGCCTTGGCATCTGGGACTCGACCATGGCGAGACGAGGCCTCCAGTCTTGAAATCATTAATCACCTTTAGGTGCATTTAGGTGTGCTTCTTCAACGTTACGGACTTGGGGCTTGGAAAAGTACATGGGGTCCACTATCATGTTCACGGTTGAGGGTTTTTTCTTTGGAGCTGCATTGCTGCGCCGCTTTGTTGGTTGCATTGCACTTCACTTCTGCGCCATCATCTACGTAACCCCAACTCTGTGAAGCTTGTGCACCCAGCTAAGCAATGCGGCTTCAGGGTTTAGGGCTACAGGGCTTTAGAAAGTTTGGGGGCTTAGAGAGTTCAAGGAATGCAGGCGTTCATGGGCATGGAAGCGGCTTCCCTACTTGAGCCTCTGTCTCTCTTTCCTGAGAGATCCTGAGAGGAAGTTAATACACGTTCCCAAGAGTGGCACCCATACATTCGGGGAGATTTTCAGCATTACAGGAACTCTAATCCCCTCCGCCAAGTTATAAACTCCCCCCCCCGCTCTAAGAAATTTCCCCCCCGCGCCATCATAATGGTACTATATTGGGCGTATTTGTTGTTAAGGCGGCCGGGTGATTATTCGCGGCAGGGGATTACCGGGCGAAGAGATTACAAGGCATACTCTGAACGTGAGCTCGCTGAACATGGGCTTTCTGTCTTCGCCTATCGCAAGTTGCCTTCACCTCAGTCCCTACTTTTTTGTGGAACCACGGCATGGAGGAAGCAGCAGCTGAGATGCTGGCTCCATTCCTCCAAGGGTGCCGTCGAAGCCGCGGAGCCTGACAAAAGCTTTTCCAGTCCGGAAACCTCATGTCATCACATATATGAGACGAACGAAAGTAGCAGCAGACTACTTACCATACAATATCATATGATATCATCTCACGTCATATCATATCACATCATCCAAAGCGAGGGAAACTGAACATGTATACGCTAGCTGCTTCAAAAAAGACAAAATGTCTTGCCTGCTCCCCGCCTCGTGGTCAACTCTTGAATCAAGTCCTTAACCGTCTCCTGTGCAGGAGCGAATGCAAGCCACACAATCGTGCCAAACGCTGTGTTCCCATTGCTGGTGTACCTATATTCCCCCTTAAGTAGATAGAATATGGGGTATATGGGGAGCTTATTATAGTATACCCAAAACCATATTCCCCTAAACTCCAAGCCCCTGAACCCTGTAAGCATTGAAGGAAAATTCCTTGGCAGACTCCTGGAATCAGGGCGAAGAGCCGAGCTAAGCCAAGGAATGCATAAAGTTTGGGGCTCGGGGTTGTTGGGAATGACTTCGTCGTCATTTTGGAATAGATTTTTGGTAAACATGCTTGGTTGAAGGCGGCTCCCTCCTGACATGCAGCAACAGGCATAAGATAACACTACGCAACTAGACTTTGGGAATTGATTCCTCGCTGTCTAAACATGCACAATACCCGCGCTGCAGCAGGTGTTCATACGGGCATTGCATATACAGGGTGATAAAACGGGTTTAGGGTCAACACTCTCAATATTGCAATAAGATTTCGGCCCGGGTTGTCTATAATTGGTGCCTGGGTGCAAGTCCTAAACCCTAAACCCTACACCCCGGTGTCTGGCTCCACAAACCCCAGTTTCGCAAGAAACGCCGGAGGTGGAGAACTGAAATCCGCAACTCGGAGCTACAAGCACAGGGTTTAGGGTTTAGGGTTTAGGGCTGCCTCTCCTCAGGGAGCCCAGTACCTCTTAATTAGGGAAAATAACTCAAATCATATTTGGGAGCCTAGTATCATGTAGGCTATATTCCTTAACCAAGGGGTATTGGGCTCTCTGGGTCCAGCTTTACAGCAGCAACCACCAAAAAGCCTCCGCGCAAGCCGCAAACGTTAACCTACTCCCAACCTACAGCCCTGCCTTCATCCCTAACCACAACCGAGCTCGAAACCTGCAATCTCTATCCCTCCCGGCTGATACCAAAAAAAACGCATGACTTCCATGAAGCTAGAACATCCTGATTCTTGAGGGTATACTTTACTTCAGAACAGATAGCATGCTTTAATATTGACCCTGATAACCGTTAAGCCCCAGCCCAAAAATTGCCTCCAGGGGCAGTCTGCCTGAATCTTGAAAGAAGAGTTCGGGCTCGGAAAGCTGTATGGGGTTGGGAGAGGCTTCCTGAAGGCTTAAGTAGGGTTTAGGGTTTAGGAGTTGTCTTAGGATTCTATTTGGGGGGTCAGGGGGACTTTGCAAATAGGTTAATGATGGGGATGACTAGGTTTACTGTATGGGTTCTGGGGTTGATTAACCTACTTACTAAGTCCCTCTGACCTTCCAAGTAGGGCTACAGAGCATTGGTTGGGTTGTAGTGTGAAGGTTGTGGGTTGAGGCTGGAGGGCTCAGATTCGTGGATCTGTGGCTTGGGGTGAGGGGGTTTTCATAGATAGGGGGAACCCAATATAGACCCCAAAAAACTCCAATCCTTGGCTTCAAGCTTTCAGAATCTCTGCCAGGGGGATGGGATTTAGGGTTGAGGTAGACCCTAGACCCTCCACCTCACCGCAGGGTCGTAGGGAAGAAGGGAATACATTATGCAGGGATTTTGTAGGGATCATATTCTCTCATTCCCACCCAACCACCAATAAAAAACCCTGATGTAGGAGCTGAAGGGTTGTTCGGGAATGATGTTGGTAATTACATACCCTCAACCCCACATTATTCCAGCGTCTAAACTCAAGCAGTAGATCTCAATACCAGCTTCTTCATTGTCGGCCAGTACCTGGCCTGAAGGCTTACGGATCAAGGCTGAGACTTTAGGGGTTAGGATAAGGATTGAGGGTTTGGGGTGTAGGCTTTTAGGGTTTAGGGTTTAGGGTTTTAGGGCTGAGGATTTAGGGTTTTAGGGTTTTAGGGTTTTAGGGTTTAGGGTGTAGGGTTTGGGGCTTCCGAACCCATGTTCCTGAAACTCGCGCCACGCGATCAATTCGAAAGATGGAGCTTTACACTCACCAAAACTACGATCATGCCCTCGACACCCCAAATCTCCCAGCCTGTAATGCTGAACCCCTGCACCCTCATCCCTACAATGTCCCCGCAGAACCCAAGAAAGGGACCTGAGCATAATTATCCTTGAGCCACAATAACAACCCGACCTTGTCACATGCCTTAGGCCCTTCAAGTTTAGCAGGTGACAGTCGTCCGGAGAAAGTGTCTTTGGATGTAGCAAGTCTTGCTGCAACTGCAAAGGAAAGATCTTGTAAAGGAGAAGCCTCAGCGTCGCAGGACCCTGAGGTTTCTCGAAGCTCCCCAGTCGAAGTCCTCATTGAACGGCTTAGGGTTGAGGACTAAGCCCAATGTCAAGCCAAAACCAGCATACACCCCAATGGATGGCCCTATCGTAACACATGAACTAAACGTTTCTCAAACTCTGCCTGTGCTTTCGGCAGGCGCGTCCACTGCAGCGTGGCGGTTGCCTCTGTTGCAACCATGTAACTGCTTCATGGAGTAACCTCTGCATAACGCCAGGAAGTATGAGGTTGTCCGTCACAACAGGATGAAAGAGAGCAGCAAAGTACTGGCCGAATGGAAGAACACACGGAAAAGCTATCATAAAAAATGCATGCACAAGCAACAGGAGCCCACCCGTACTCAAGTTTAGGAAAAGATGATGACATCAGCTGAGACTCTTGGGTTTCGGGAGTGGGTTGCCTTATAGGGTTCTTTGCCATGCTTCAAGGTTTGCAGTTTGGGGCTGAGAGATCTTCAAAACTGTTTTAACGCGCTGCACCCGACCTCGATAAGGTTCCCTTTATGCTGTTCATGGGGCCCGCTTTGAACTTTCGATGACTAGCCTAAACCCTAAACTCAGAGATCTCCCAGGGCCAGTCCGAAGCCAGGGTTTACTTTAAACCCCCACTACAGCCACCCTCTGCAAATCAAATCTCTTATAGCCACAAACCCTAATCCATAAGCCATAACGCTGTGGTCATCTGGGTGCGAAAAAGCGAAAACCCGAAAAATGGAAGTGATGCTCATTTCTTTCTGCTCAAAACCCTAATCCCGTAACCCTTAACCCTAAGCCCTAAACGCACGGCTCATTGAGGATGATGACTCACCCTGAGGCCATGTAAGCCACGGTGCGCTACGCGGTCCCTGTAGGTAGGCGGCCTCCAGTCCTCGCTTGGGAAGTGGGCTTTTAGGTTTAAGCTGTAGGCTTTACTTAGGGTTTGGGGTTTAGAGGCTAATAACTACAAGACTTACTGGTGATTAGTAGGGAAGAAGGGAATAAAATCCCTATATACTATATTCCCTTGTTCCCCGCTAGCCCCGGTTTAGGAGTTGGGCATTTCCAAAATTGGGGTACCCCTTTTCTATTCTGCGGAGACTACCCGAAAGGGACCTCTCACTTTGGGAAACCCTCTTTCATGGCTCTGAGTACAGGGCCACCAAGTGCCCACTATTGGGGGGAATAGTGATTAATACTGGGCTGGGAGAGGTTGATTATTATTATGGGTTGCTGTTAAGGAACTTAAATTAAGTTACCATAATGGGTATATATATATAGTAAATAATAGGATTTCCCCAGTATAGTAACTTGGATTAAGTTCCTTAACAGCAACCCAGTATTAGGGGGCTGGAGGGAACATGGCTTGGGCATGACCTGCTGGGAGGTCTCTTCCTTAAAGTTTTCAGCAATCCTTTGCAATACGAATCCCGTTGCGAGCCTTACAGAATCATACGATGATATTCCTTGAACACCCCATCGCGATTATTTATGACTACAATCGATTTCTGGCTTGAGGCCACACATGTGCTCAAACGAATTTGGCGCTTGAGGCCGTGGGATCTGAGGGCATCCATGGCAAAGGAATCTAACGTAGTTTAGGAGAAGGGTGGCTATGTTGTGAAATGTATACACAGGGCTCGAGGGCTCCATGCAGCATGGATAAACCTGTAGGCTTACAGTCTCAAGAGAAACAATTCCCAAATCTGCAGAAGGCTGGTAGCCACCTTCGATTGCCTAAGAAAACTTGTTCATATAGTCGCGTCCTACAGACCCATAAAGAGCATCAAAACGCATTACTTAGCTTCAAAGGTTTTGGCGGAGTCCATGGCTCCAACACGTGGGCTTGTGCTTTTGCCTTCGCTTATATGGAAGAACAGTACCTCATCTATGCTTTGCCATCATGACGACGCAAACCTCATCATGATCTCATGAAAGACGCCCACCCATTAGACTTTCTGCCGCAGAGCGCCCAAAAAGATGGCCGCACATGCTTCAAGTAATTCCCAATACCTTACGTGTTCTGAGACGGCCCTTGGATCGGCAATGAAAATACTGGATCTCCGCATAATACTTCTTGGCTAAACCTGAGCATGTCAAAACACCGCAGCATGTATGTAGATCTGTGAGATGCGTGGGGACCGTGAGGAGAATCTCAAAGGGTCTGCTTTGCGCATACCGCAGGCTTCATTTTCAGCATTCCCCTTAGCACCCACATCACACCAAGCCGCGGAAAGAGGCGTACACATAGCGCCCCGCAAGTGACACGGCCACGGGAACCGTACCACAAGCATGACTGAGCACAATCCCTGAAACCGCTCTCTAGCCCGGAACCCTACACCTCAAGAAAACTACACCCACAACCTTGACCGCTTTCAAAAGTTTCCATTTTTCGATTATTCCAATAAATCCCAATATGTCCCGACTATATATACCCAACCCTTCGAACCCTGCGCCCGACCATCCTGCGCAAAGCATCGCTCCCAGCTGCATTGCCTCGCTCTGCAACAGGCAAGACTGGATGGTTGCTCAAAGGCTCGTGGGTAGTTATACATCAGCATATGGCATATGAGCTACATTGTTATGTCCTAGCTTCAGGGGCTTCTAACCAAGATCATCTTACCCATGAACTTTCCACCAGGAGTTTGTTTTGAAGGGTTTAAAGTTGCTGGATGAGAAGTCCCCAGGAACAGGCAGCTTGAAGATCCCAAGCTTTAACTTCCTCGTGGTTCGTAGGGAATAAAGGAATGAAATCCTTCTAAAATCCCTGTACAATATCTGAAATCCTTCTAAAATCCCTGTACAATATCCCCCCCACCCCAAATTCCCTACTAACCTTAAACCCAAATCCCTGCTTCCTAAACTCTAATCCCTAAGCCCTAGATATTCCCTAGTTCCCTACTAACCCCCAGTAAACTATGGAGTTTTCAGGCCTTCGGTTAGAAACTTCTCATCGGCACATGACGTTACCACTCTACAGCAGGGTTTAGGCTTTAGGGTTCACATTTTCTACAACGTTCTCGTCTTACTGGGGGTTAGTCGGGAATGTTACAATGGGATTAAAACGGGACCATAATCCCTTTTTCCTTACTAACCACCAGGAATTCTTGTGGTATTTTTCTAGTCACTCGTCGCTTGGAAGGCAAAATGAACTTTTCTCCGCTTGAAATATGAAAAGGATTGAGATTTATCGGATCCACGACGAAGCCTTCTTTGTGGCAATAGAGCCAACATACATCCTAATAATGTGCACGAGCAAGCACTCTACCAGACTTTAGAAGCTGTGACTGTGTCCAAGTTTGTGCGCACTTGACAGCCAGAAGAGCCAGCAGCTTAAGGCTTGTGTACTGCCAAGACTATGTCTCAAATATTAGGGTTATATTGGGATTATATTGGGATAATGGAAAAGAACATGGAAACTACTATATTGGGTTTATGTAGGGATAATGGAAAAGAAAATGGAAGCTACTATAGCACGTTGGGGTTATATTGGGATAATGGAAGAGAAAATGGAAACCACTATAATGGGGTTATATAGGGTTAAGGTACCACTACAAACCCTGTGAGACACCAACCCTTCTCAGAGAAACTACCAGCAAATCCAGAAGCTTCAGAAACCGAAGTTAGGGTTTGGGAAACCTGCGAAGATAATCTAGGAAAAGCGCAAGTGGGAAAGTTCACCAAGACCCGCAGTTCAGAAATCTAAAGTTGTGGCACTTCGGGCAGCCCCTAGTATCCAGGTCTTCATGGGACCTTCTCGCTGACGGATGTCTCCATGCCCTTTGGCCTCAAACGTCTTTCGGGGAACTTCGCACTTCAACATGATAGCTTTAGGGCAGGGATTCTTAATACCTAGGGAAGATATGTGCGGTGTATATGCAAGCGATTATGTGAGCTATGGTCTAAACTTCTAGTATCCCCCTTAATAACCCTATAGTAGTCCCCTATGTAACGCCCTTGAAGGAGTTTAGACCCTAAACCCTGAACCCTAAACCCTATACAATCCGCTGTATACCCCCTTTTAAGGAGTTTAGACTATAGCTCAGGTGGGACTAGTAGCTTTGGGTTTGGGGGCGCATGGCATCAGAGTTTGGAGCCTCGGTGGAACTGTGGGGATTGGCATAAGGTTAGGGTTTTGAACTTGAGGGTCTGGGGTTTAGGATTTAGGGTTTAGCGTATAGGGTTTAGGATTTAGAGTTTAAACTTTGGTGGGGTGTCCCACTCATGCTGACGTGGAGCCAGAAACAAGGCTTCTCTTTAAGATTACGTCCGGCGATTTAAAAAGCGCATGACACAGGTGAACTGGCCCGCCACCCACTAGTTTTGATAACGAGGGACCCCTAAACCCTGAACCCATACTATCGTCAGTGTGTGTTCCTGCTATACCGTTTTGTGCAAGCGGGAGACCACCTTGGACGCTCTACTCAACTGGAAGTACGCCAAATGTGAGAGACTAGATTTTCTTACTGGTGGTAAGGCTTTCTGATTCTAAGGCCTAAGGGTGTTGTGACTTTAGGGTGCAGTACGGAATGAGAAAATGGACATCCATACCAGTCCCTATGGATCTATGCTCGTTCCGCTTTGGAATAAAGATGGCAAAAATGCAGCTTAATATGAGGTACCCGATTTGTCAGGACATCTGCAGAGCTTGAGGTTTCCGGGCTTTGGGCTTGGAATTCAAGGCAAACAGAAGAGTCCACACCTGAAGTTCGGCCTTCGCTTCCGACTTGGCGGGTTAGGGGGGGCTTAGTAGCTATGCTTGCAATCGCCACATTGATTAAACCAACTATTCCGACTAGGCCTGAAACCTTCAGCCGAGCGCCCCTGCGCACGCCACTTCTGTCGGCCGAATCGCTGGGGCAGCTGACATCTGAGGCTCTTTAGCCGCGCATACCTCTGGTCAAGAAACGCGGGACCCAGAATCAAGAACTCAAGGGAAGTCGGAAAGTCTCACGGAGTTTTTTGACACCAGTCCTTTCAAGGCTTAGCAGTTGTTGGCGGTTGGGCCTGAGCGTCGGTTTGATGGGTTCTCCACATTTGTGATATGCTTTGTTGGCCCTTCTTGCTGAAAACGATTGGCTTTGAAGGATCTACTGGCCTCCTGCAACTTCCGACTTTCAACACCCTTTGAAACAGTCCCAGATTTGGGGTTGAGCATGTGAAGTTGTTGGAGGAAGTCGAGGGGTTCTGACAAGAGGCTTCTGAATCTGAATAGGGGCCCTTCTAAAGATAGGATGTAGGTCTCCATATGCGGCTACAGCGGCATAAGCTTATGGGTGGCATGAAGAGGCCTATCAGCTTGCCCTCAAAATTAGAGGGTTTAGGGTTTAGGACCCTTTTTGTGTCCCAGAACGTATGATGTATTGGGAGTAGCTAGCGTTGCACAGGTGAGGGCTGTGTAGCTAGGAGACCGGGCTGTGAAGTAACGCTTGGCAAGATCCTCACAAGGAGTTCTACCTGCGCAAATACCCAGATTGACAGCCAGCAACCCCAACACAATGGCCTATAGTCCCCCTTAGGTAGATAGAATCTGGCTTTGGGTACATGTTGAAAAATTCCATATAACCCATATCCCATCTACTTAAGGGGGACTCTAGGCCATCTATTCTGTGTTTTCAGGACGTCTAGGTACAATCCTTTCCCCTTTTCAGCCCGAACCCGCTCATCAGGCACTTCCCATGCGAACGCTGAGGCTTCCAGGTGTACGGATTTAGGATTTAGGGTTTGGGATGTGCCTTAGGCTTGGGATTCGGTATTGTGGCATCATGACCTGGCATCCTCCTGACATAGAATAGCCAATACCTACTTGAGAGAGATAATGAACGGCCTTTACGAATTCAGGGGTGCTTCGCGAAACTCCTGTGAAGGGTTTTGACCTTCAGAGTCGACAGTTTTGGCTCAGACTTGCAATGCAGGGTGAGGGTTCAGGGATTGGAAGTCCTGAAGGTTACTGGGTTGCTGTTAAGGAACTTAATTTAAGTGACTATATTGGGGAAACCTATTATTTACTATATATACCCATTAGGGTAACTTAATTTAAGTTCCTTAACAGCAACCCAGGTTAGCGTCTGCAAGGCTGGCATGGGAGCTGAGGCCTCACTCTTGGCAAAGGCCTCGAGAGTAAAGTACTTTCTGAGTTGACCTATAGTCTAAACTCCTAGTATCCCCCTTAATAATTCCTATAGTAGTCCCTATACAATTCCCTGTATAACCCCCTTTAAGGAGTTTAGACTATAACTCAGTTGATGCTTTCCCCTCCGCAGGGCTCAAAGCCCAACCACAAACCCCAATACCCAAAAACAAGCCCAAACCCGAAACCCAAGGAAAAAAATCCTCGCACTGATATAACCATGCCAAGGTTCAGTCTCCATACGCTAACAATACCCTAAAGGAGGAACACGTGAAACCTCGTTTTAGGGCTCAGTCGGATCTGCTAATGTATGGGGGCCGACCCGAATCTAAACCCTAGTGCCTAAACTCTAGAAACCTAAACCCTAAACTCTAAACCCTAAACCCTAAACCCTAGAAACCTAAACCCTAAACTCCCAACCCTAAACCCTAAACCCTAGAAACCTAAACCTTAAACTCCAAACCCCAAAAGCCAGAGCTATGGGGCTGAGCCCATGGCTGGAGCCGCGTAAAGCGCACACCCACGCAAACCGTGGCCTCTGGCGCCGACTTGAAGGTTCACGATTGCTTCACAATAGGGTAGTAGGGTTGAGGTCTTAGGCTTTCAGGGCTTCGCAAATAGGAATCAGAGGGTTTCGTGCGTTCAGGGGTTACAGGGTTTTGCTAGAGGTTCATGAGTCTAAGTAAGTATGACCTACCTACAACTGTACCTCTATCACAACCATAAGCTCCTCAAGTCTACAGATATCCAGGCTTAGGTTGTTCGAAGTAAGGGTACCCCAAATAATCTTGGGGATGATGAGGCAGCTATCGAGGTTCACCTTGAGCACAAGAGGGCTTCAGAAACAACCCCCACTTGGAAGACATAGGGGTTTCTCAAAGTTAGGGATACCTTTCTGGGGTCCCTATAGTACTAATCATAGCAACTGTATTTTGGGGTCTGTATTAGGGTCCCCCTATCTAGAAAAACTACTACATCAGCAAGATCTCTGTCAAATGATTGGACGAAGCAAGGCTTCGCTGATTGATTATAGAAAATGGGGAATGGACCCTCGTGTAGCCGTGTAGCCCCATAATGTAGCCCTAAACCCTACAGCCTAAACCCTAAAGCACTACATGATAGGATTTTCTGCGCCTCGGCTGTCCTAAGGGACTCTCTTTCCACACTTTCAGGAAGTGATGCAGCTCTTGTTAGAACAACACTGAAGAAGTGACCCAGAACTCTCAGGTCTTTGTGCACAGGCCCTGAATCCCAAGCCTAGACCATAAAAATCATGGGTTATACAGGGATTATAT